TAGATCATCAGTAAGAGTTCGCCTTCATGAAGGTGATTTGTGCCTCTTTGTTAGAAGCATTTATTATCTATCCATCGAATAAAGAGACCAAACCTAAACATATTAACGTATACTCCACGTGATCGCGCTCCAGAACGCCGAGCACGTTACAGGGCCGTACTAAGAATACATGATTTCTGGTTCTACGACACGATCAAAAAGTATGCAAAATTATTGCAGGCATGTATAGGGTCCAAACGTAAAGCTTGGAATTAATGTATTTTTCAATTTAACTGTCATGAACAAGAAGAAAACAACTGTCTATTGTTGTTTTTAGTAGAAGTGTTTTGTCAAGAAATTATACTCGAAATGTGTCGTAAGGCACATTTATAAAGCAGCCTTTTAAAAAATGTCTTGACACATTAAAACGATAATTGCATATGCATACAAGTAAACCTAACCACCGGTTGAACAGGAACGTCAGTGTGCAAACAGTTAATTTTAATATTATACTAAAAAATTAATAGTTAGGTGGAGTTGAAAGAAAAAGGATTTGAATACATAATAATATCTACTAAATATTATACAAAAATTTATTGCACAGACATTTTACCTCTAAAGCCGGAAATACATAGGGTAAATCGAGGTTACATGGCCATAGAGGAGAGATGGTCCAACTCGATATTCTCCTAAATAGTTATTAGAGGGCGTTTTTTTCAATAAGGCGTAATGTACTGTTGTGTGATCCTGCTATACTAGAAACTCTGAGTCAATTAACTAAGTTTAAAGGTAAGTTATTTTAAAATAACTGTTTACATGGGTTCAATCGTTTTTTAATACAATTTTCCACTAGCCAAATTTCATAAAATTTTATTAGTTTTTAACAATCCGTCTGGTGTTTATTTTACCATGTGTGGTGTGTTTTATGTTGCCTAAGCGTTTTACGTGAATTAATGTATATAAAATCTAAATCATGCTATGGCCATCTTTCCTCGAGGAAAAGGAGAGATGGCCCACTTTTTTCCTATGTATGATGGCCATCGTAGATCATTTGTATTTATTTTAGATGCCAAATATTTATAAAAGAACATCATTGGAGAGGGCCAAATGGACCGAGGAGCAACTGAAATCTGCAATGAGTACTGTTAAAGATGAGGGATTATCTGTACGTCAGGCTGGAAAAACTTACGGCATTCCGAGAAAGACATTGGAAAGGCGAAAGAAGGAAGACCATTGGGTCCAGATACTACTTTCGGAGCTGCACATGAAAACAGACTGGTTCGGCATATTAAAGAAATGCAAAAAGTGGATCTCCACTTACTAGAGATGATTTGCGAACCATAGCTTATAAATTTGCTGTTCAGCTGGGCTTAAAACATAAATTTAATAATCGGCTTCAGAAAGCTGGTTAAGATTGGCTGCATTCATTTCTCACCAGAGATCCATATCAGTTACAAAAGCAGAAAGTTTGTCGTTGGCGAGGTGCACAGCAAGTACTGCCGAAGAAAACAATATCTTGATAAACCCGAAAATATTTTTAATATGGACGAGGGTGGATTGCAACTAAATACAAGACCGGGGGAAGTTTTGGCAGTAAAAGGATCAAAAGTAGTTTCGTCAGTTGCTTGATCAGAAAAAGCCGAGACTGTAACAGTTGTTGCCTGATGTAAGGCCGAGCGCACTTTTCTTCCTCCTGTCGCTATTATGAAAGGAAAAAAATTAAGTTAGTTAGTTTTTTAATGTAAGTTACTTTTTTGGCAAAAGAATTGGCAATTGAGTTTTTAGTTTCTTTTCTCTTATATGTAATAATGAAGTCTCATAGGTATTTCACGAGTATTCTTATAAAACTCATTATTTTCTTTGAATTTTATATGGCCATCTTACCTTCTACGATATGGCCATCTCTACTAAACACTATAGGAGAGATGGCCCACATATAAAAAATACCGATATTTATCAACAAAATGAAAAACCATATTTATAATAAATTTGCACAGAGCAACAAATAATAATTACCATGCCCTACCCTAAAATATTATACTTTTTGTTAAAACCCAATTATTAAAATTATTACGGACGATTAAAAAAATATGGCCATCTTTCCTTGGTTTACCCTATATTTGAAAATAAAAATCATTCTAGATCTGAGGCCGTGGAACTCCGACTGTCATCAAGATTTATGATTGAAGGGGCAACGTGAGTATCAATGATACCGTCTAATTCCCACATTTTAGGTTCGACCTTTTCTTTTACATGCTGATACATTTTCCCACTTATTCGGTGTTATTCATTGTGTAGCATCATGAAAAATATTTTTAAGGTCAGAAAATTTAAAACATTTATTTTTCGCTGCAACATATTTTTTAAGTCTGCCCAAATGAGTTCATAATGGTAAGGAGGCAGTCGTAAAACACTTTTATTTTGTTTTTTGGCCATTTCATCAATTATGTTCAGGTTATATTCATTTTTATGCTTGACAATGTATCATCATAATCAATCTTTTTATTTTTAAGCCATCTTTGAATTTCTGATTTTTTTGTTGACGTTGTTGGAATTTTCTCTAATTTTCTCGTGTGGAATGAAGCATTATCTAATAATATAACCGAATTACCTTCAAGCTTCGGTAGGGTATTTGAGAACCAATTTTCGAACGAGGCTCCATCCATTTCTTCGTGGTAGTCTCCCGTTTCTTTGGATTCAAATGCCCATAAAGCATCGGACACAAATCCATCTTCATTAGCGATGTGGCAAATTATCTGTAGCTTACATTTTCCTAAAAATAATTAATTTTCGACACTTTACAACCGCTCCTGTTGAAAGCATTAAAAACCCAACAAAATGATTGCTTGATTTCTTATCTCGATATAGTTTAAGCATGTACAAAAACAAAAATAATATAGTATAACTTTAGTTGAAATTCCTCGTCTTACAAGTATTGAAAAATATTTAGGTGTCAGCTTTGCAAACAATGTCCTGAACACTTGAGTCACTCCTTCCTTGCATGTCGTATTTATCAATGTTGATAATTATTTGTTTTTCGCTAACGCTGAATGAAGCTTTTTAGCTCTTTTTTTAGGCGGTGTGCAGTTTATATCAACAACTTCATCATCTGTATCCGTATCAGACATTTTGAGTTCTACTTCTAACAAGTCTAATAGGCACAGAGTAATACCAGTATAAATCTGATGCCAACTCTGTACAACCACCGAGACAGCCGCCATGCACGTGGACGGTCGTATCGTCTCCCACTCCACCCTCTGGTTTGTCATTGGTTATGTGTAAGGGCTCGACCTATTATGCCCAATAATAGTTATGCTCCCTCTCTCTTCAAATATATCAGTGTACTGATCACGCAATAATCACGCGATGATCCGTGTTTTGGTTTAATCTCTTTCTTCGATACATACATAATAGCACTTATATTCAGCTCTCATTGCCTCTAACAAAACGCGAAAACATCAAGGCTACAGGTGTGGGTGCCGTCAGGAGCTGGGAAAAAATTATATATGCTGACATATAAAATGCGACACCCAGAATTATTTATCGAATTTTGGTAAAACTTGTAAGCATATTTGCTATCATTGAAGTATACGCTTGTAAGCTTACGAAATATCTCAAACACATTTTTTTGCATGCGAGTCCAACCCTGTAGTACACAAAACCTTTCCAGAAGGTTCCCAAGGCTGCTTAGTGTCACTCAGCGCGACAGCCCTTACGCCTGTTTACATTATAAATTCCATTGCTTCTCTGGGTACTTGTTCCCAGGATAAACTTTGATATACGGGCGTGGACGGCGATACAGTTCAATTATTGCGTGGAGGAGATCGCTTCTCAGACCAAGTAGTGCGCTTTATGAACTTGATTACAGCGTTGATGTGCTATTTGGGTGTGGTGTTTTGGCAACCTGAAAGGTGAGCAATCACTGAGTGTTTCCTTTATTCTACTGTACTGCATGGATTGATAACCATAATACTTTTATGTTCATGATCATGAATGTCTTAAGCCGCTATACTTTTTTTGCTGGGTTGAGGTAGTTATGTTACTCACTGCTCGGTTTCCTTTACCAGGGGAAACGTCGAAGCGCTTTGGATGTTGACACGGTAGCCTTTGGCCGAAGTGGCGTCCTTGGTCTGAATGACCCCTTAACTATCTTCTATTGGCAATCGCTGGAGTCTGAATGTATCTCATGGCAGGATGTGTGAAGGGATTGTTACTTTAATGATAGTCATATTGCTCGGTTACCTCTGATTCAGGGGTAACGTCGGAGATTTGGGGTATTGACACAACGGCCCTTGGCCAGCGTGATATCCCGGTTCCTGGACTGTCTTTTTGTAACAATCGTTAAACTCAGCACGTCTGACCATACACCTAGCGACCAAAGAGTTAGAGTGAGTCTCTGTGACGACTCCTATTAAGTCTGTGTGACGACTTAACGATCAGTCTGTGTGACGGTCAGGATTAGTCTGTGTGATGACGATCCCGTGATTCAGTCGATGACGAATCCGTAATAGTAGTTGGGGTACATTAATGTAATGGTAAATAGTAGATTTGTGCATGTGATGTCATGAGTCAGTTGAATACGGGAGATACTCATAAGTCTTTTTCTAAAAATAGGTGTTGGCCCCGACAATCCGATCATATCGCCCTTATCGCTTGCCAAAAGAGGATAACTTGTTGTCGTTTCGTCACCAAGTAAGTGACTTTAATACTACCCTGACATTGTTGCCCATATCGAATTGTTTACGTACTGCCCATGTAGTAAAAATAAAATGGTACGGGGCGGTACTTCGAAATCTTCTAAGATGAGATGTTTTCACGTTTATCGTTATATTGCTATTATATTATCAATTTCGTATCCTACACGCTGATTGTTTTCAGCCTTTGCGATTTACTCTAAAGTGCTCATCCCTTTCGGTACCAGACTATATTATTATCCCTCTGCGTCGCCAAGGCGTCGCGACGACAAATGCCCCGCTGCTACGTCACTGGCTTGCTCCCAGTAGGCTCGAGTGAAAGTCGACGGCAAGCATCTGCCGCCCAGCGTGTCGCCGCCCCGACGTCCGCGACGCGGCGCACCAGATCAAAAGCGGCTGACACTAGGCCGCGGGCCAAACAATAGAGCGCATTTAACCGACGCGGTACTCGCTATACAGTACTAGCGACAGTACTGCTCAGACCGTTCCCGACGCGGGATACCCGAGGGACAACGCGACAGCTGATGTGTGAAAGTGCACGTTAGATTCACTTTATTCTTTTCAACTTTCTCTGGTGTTACGGCCGAACGGTAATGGAGAAATCAGAGGAGGCGTGCGAGGTTGTTTTGCCTTTACGGCAGCAACCCTTGAAACAGTTGAACAGAATCGCGAAGACGGCGCCAGTGGACGTCGAGTTTCAGGATTTGACTTATTCCGTGCCTGATTCCTCCCAAAAAGGGGGTGAGTAATTTTGTTCCTTTGCCATGCTTCTTGTCGCATCTCTTTGATCACATAGTACTTGACCTAACCTAAAAGCAGCTGATCCTAGTGCTTACATCTGACATCCTTCAAATAAGGGGTGCGGTGAGAGGGTGTGTCTGTCAGAACAGTGGCGGATCGCATTGCGGTATAGGTAGGGCGACCCTCATTTTTAAACAAAAAAGTACGCTTTTAAGGAAAATCACCACTGATACTTAGAGCAATTTTTTGTCTAAATCTAACACATTTTTAATCAAACAAAATGAAGGAATTCATGTTTTATTATAATACAGATGAAGCAGCAATATAACAAAGGATTTTTAAAAAAATATGTACGTAAATTTTTAAAAGTTAATTTTCCTTTGACGTGCTAGCTTGACCATTCAGATCTTCGTTTTGGTACCATTCTTACTTTTGGGAACTATGAATTGACTTTAAAGTTTGTGGAAATGAAACATTTCAATACAAGTAACATTAATGTTTGTGTAGACTTGCATAGTGGCTTCCAGAGTAGATATCTTCAACTGCGATTTTTCAGAACTCAAAAATAGTTATTAATATTTGAGAATAACCTCTCAATTGACGCACTGGTCCCAGGCAGACAAAAAACAAACTCACGTAAAATTTTTACATCTTTCAATGCATTTTCTGTTTGTAAAGCTTCGAGCCATCGATCTTCAGTAGAAATATTTCAGCAATTTTCTGTAATGTTCGTTTGTATTAGACTAACTTCATCGAACAGTTCATCCTGATTCAATACCGGACCTATGTAGTCCTTAAAAGCCTCACACGAAGATAAAATATCCGCCCAAGAAACTTGTCTTCTCAGGTTAGCCCATCCAAGAAGCTTTAGTGCACTTCAATTTTCACTCCAATTTTTCAAGTATATAAGTTAAACAATTCAAATTTAACACTGCTTGACGAAGTCATCCCGAAAGTTTACACTGCTGTCTTCCACATTTTCAAGTTTTAAAAGGGACTTTCTCACTTTAAGCGGTAAAAAAAAGTACATATGGGCCCCCTTGGTATAGGTCCTTGTGTGTTTACTGAAATTCCATAAAGTGCTTGTCGACACAAAAACTTTGAATTTCACATTTAAATCGTGAGAGCATTGGAATAAATCAGTTTTGGAGTTTCACACAAATAGAATTTCTGAACTCCACTGTCTTCCAAGCTTCATCAAAACAGTTAGTAAATTCGGGAAACTAAAAAAAAAATAGGATTTTTATGAAAGTGTCAGCATGGGTGCCTGTGCATGGGAGTGCCAGGGCGACCCCGGCTCTCTCGAGAATTCAATTGGACCAAATTTAGCTTGATTCTGTTTACAAACTTGGTGATTCCGCCCTGAGAAAATTTGCTAGCCGCCGTTGTTCAAAACGTATTGAAAACAGCTACACCTCCACATAAAGTTATCTCCTGTCAATGTTCTGCCCCCCTTCCACTCCCTCCTTACGAGGACTCATAAATTTAAAGCATCAGAAGTCATCTTGCCTAGAGCCATTTTGTCCCATAAAAATTTATTTACTATTCGCTTCGATAATCATAAAATATAAAAAAACGCCTACAACAAACTTTAAAATTATCTAAATTATGATACCTGCAAACGATAATTTTGACTGCCCACAAGAATCATAAAAAGTTCGATCGGATTCTTTGTCATTGATTACCCAGTAAATCACAAGCACAAGCCCCATGATAAGCAGACAAACAGACAAATAGGATTCTCCTGCTCCTTATACAAAATTTTCCGCTGAAGATGCTAACATAGAGAAACACATACCGGGTAATAGGAAACAAGTTCGGCGAGTGATGAGACTCTGTAGTAGTCATATTGGTTTGGTTGTCCATAGCTTCAGGAGCTATTAAAGTTTTTTGGCAATACATGCAAACCCAGCAAATGTTTGGACAGAAAGATAGAATTCCAATCACAAATTATTCTCACCTCCATTTCAACTTCTTAACTTTAGAATTTGGCATGATTTGAGTTTGTTGAAGATAAAATTTTGAAAACAATTCTTCAATAATCTTATAATTTAGTATGTCTGTAATCGGATTTATTGATCAGTGTTTTATTTAAACATTGTTCCTTATCATTGATAGCATTTGAAGTAGATATTGCAAAACAAAGCTTACAAAATTAGATTCTGAAGTGTATCTCAGTTTAACCGTGATCATATCATTAATTAGAATAAAAAAATTGTTAACAATTATATCAAGGCTCAATCATTAGACAGTTACGCTAGGTCCATGAAATTTTTATGGTTAATATCTGATAAAGCAAAGATACTTATGAGTGCGAAAACATGTTTACTCTAATTTAAAAACCGTTCGAGGGTAGACTTTTTCACGTTTGCGTTAATTTAAAAACCGTTCGAGGGTAGACTTTTTCACGTTTGCGTTATGTGCCAGACCTTATTTTAGTTTTAAAATGTAGGGTTAATTATTTTATTAAACGTATGACAGCTTAGCCTTAGTCTTAGCTACACAATAATGAAAGAATCAGGCATCTAGCACACTTATTTATGAAGTTTTATAAGCTCAGACCTCGAATATTCTCGAAAAATCAGAAAAACAAACCTAACTCCTAAACTAAAAACAAATCCGGTCATGGAAGTGATTCGGAATCCCCATAGAGTGCTCTGTCTCTGGGCTCTGGGATTATCAAATATTTATTTTTACATTAGCTAGGGCCTTAGTAAATCAGTATCCTGAACAGAAAACTATTATTTTTAGTAGTTCCTGTCAAGTTTCATAGCGATATCCTTAGAATACGTTCCATGTGTTTCAGAGTCAGATGGAATATTTTTCTTCCAGATTGCTGATACGATTTTATGTTTCAATTGAATGAGATGTAACTTACGTATAACTAATTATATTGCCTATTGTATCATATTTATGAGAATCATAGCATTTGAGTATGCAAATGGCTATGATTCCAACTAATTGGACATTACAATCCATGATCCATCCGCTTTGTTTACGAGTTTAGCGGTCATGATCGTTATAAATCATTCATTTAATGTTACAGGATATAACGCGGTTGTTAATAATTATTTTTATTTTTTGTGACTACCTTAAAATGTAAATTTTGCGCCTACCATTACGATAATATTTCAATTGTTCATTCCATTCACAGCTTATTGTGTGATCTGAATCACAAACTAATGTTGATGACGCCTTTTCTGATTTTTTGTGACTTTACGAATCGTTTTCCCGATGAAACGAGTATCGCTAACACGTAGTGGGAAAAGTGATAAAAACGGATTCCGTTTCCCTATTAAAGAAAATTGTTTAGTCTTAAACATTACCTCAACCGTTCGAGGAAAGATCATCCCTCAATATCCTTTGTAATTATACTAAGTGACATATAAATCCGAACACCCAGTTTCAATGGTTTTATTTTAATAAAAGTTGTATTTATCTTACTGTAAATAACAAGTGAAAAAATTTTCAGCCTTATCAGTTGGACATTCCGGTTTTTATACTGCTTTTTTTTAATTCACTAACGCTCTAAAAATGGATATTTCAGCCGCAGTAAAGAATCAACGTTGGCGGATTTTGGTTCTTGACATCCTTTACGATCGGTTACGATGCCTAGAGTACGGAGACCTGTACGATTTCGTCAACTTAGTGAGTTTGATAGGGGCCGTATAGTGGGACTTCGGGAAGCTGGACTTTCTTTTCGGGCAATTGCAGTTAGAGTGCAAAGAAGTGTAGACACTGTGGTTAGGTGTTGTCAGGCATGGCTTCGAGAAGGCCGTACGCAAAGAGCAAGGGGCACTGGACGCCGCCGGAGAACAACAGACCGTGAAGATCACTGCCTAAGATTATTGGCCTTAAGGGACCGTTTCTCCACTACCAGGTCCATTACAAATGAATGGTTTTCAGAACACGGAAGACCTATTGGCATGCGAAGTGTTTACCGACGAATGAGAAGTTTTGGCTTGTTTTCATACCGGCCACACTGGGTCCTCCCTTTAACTCGAGAACACCGACGTAATCGCCTTGAGTGGTGCAGACAACGGTCACTCTGGGATCAGGAATGGAACAGTATTGTCTTTAGTGACGAGTCTCGATTTTGTTTAGGCATGCACGATGGTCGTGCCAGGGTTAGAAGGCGACGTGGTGAAAGGAGGAATCCACAGTTTTTTGTTGAAAGACATGTTCATCACACTGTTGGAGTTATGGTTTGGGGTGCTATAACTTATGGTTCCAGGTCACCTTTAATCTTCATCAGAGGTAACATGAACGCGCAGCGTTATATCCACGAAGTTCTAGAACCCCATCTTTTACCCTATCTTGACACCCTGGCAGATCCAACTTTCCAACAAGATAATGCCCGACCACATATTGCAAGAGTCACAATAGACTTCTTTCAACATAATGATGTCACATTGTTACCATGGCCACCAAGATCTCCCGACTTATCCCCAATTGAGCACGTGTGGGTTATGATGGGTAGGAGATTGCTCAATTTGCAACGTCCTCCTCAGACTCTAGAAGCACTTCGAGAGGAGCTGGTGGTTGCCTGGAATGAGATACCACAGGAGGACATTGACCACCTGATCAGAAGCATGCCTAGGCGCGTTGGAGAATGCGTAGCACATCAGGGTGCATCCACACATTATTAAAGGTCAAAGGGCTTTAAAGCAGTGCAATCATTTGAAATTTTTGTCATTTACATATTATGCTTCATTAAGTACTTAAACAAAATTTTATTAAAATAAAACCATTTAAACTGGGTGTTCGGATTTATATGTCACTTAGTATATGTCCAAGCAATTGTATTTTCACAATATCTCAACGACCGAGAAGGTAATGCCATAATCTGAAGCTACACGTAGGTGAACGACATGTAATCTATTAATTATGTATTTATTGTAATATGCAATATAGTACATCACAAAGGTTGAAGTCTAGCCTTAACAGCTACTCTACTTAACCATTTTGTCTTTAACTTAAGTTACATCATGAAAAATTAG